CCAGAGTTGATAGCCCCATCTATGAAACCTTTCAACCAGACTAAGACCTCCTTTGACACCAACACAGTCGCCCTGTTATTCTCTCTGATTTTCAAAACATCCTCACCTTTGATCCTTTCCTTTTCGAACTTGAAAGTCTTGGCTTCGATCGACACCTCAGACCTCCACCTTCCTACTACTCTGAACCTGCCCTCGTCCAAGAACCTACCTTCCATGGGTTCTTGTACATGTGTAGCATCCTTGGACAGATAGCAATATTTGGTACCCTAATTCTCAGGGTTTTTCTCTTATGCTTCCTTCTGTATATTACTCGCTTCAAGCAGATTTCTAAAGACATGATTATCCAAATTAGGTGGATATAGGAGATCTGCAAACAGTATGGCTGATGGTCTAGCAAAGTAAGGAATTCAGAGACAATCTATGTTCTGGACAGTTCTGTAAATAGTACATAGTTTCTTTTTGGGCCATTTGGGCTATTTGTTTTGGCTCACAAATCCTTGTTGTATTTCTTATATTTAATCTAATGAATCTATTTTTCTGTTGCTGATCAAAAAAATATAGTCATTGATGATTTTTTTATCAATAACAGGAAGCATTTCATTAATATATTGTCATTGATGATGTCTAGTTTTTTATTCCTCCCCTTTCTTATTGTACTAAATTTCCTCTTTAAATGAAATTGATTCTGTTCTTGATAAAAAAAAATGATGCCTAGTTTTCCTTTTCCTTTTTTTTTGAGAAAAGATTTTGGGGTTTCAGTTTCAATGTTACCTCAACATTCTATCTTTTACTTTGTAATCTTCTTATTCTCTTAAAGAAAGTTTTATCTATTTACTATTAAGAAAAGAAACACGTATAAATCAAGTTTAATTAGGAAAAAAAAGATCAATAGAACTATAAGAATGTATCAAGAACCAATAAATAAACTAAGACAATATGGTCTTGTTCACTTTTGTGGTAAATTAAGTCAATCGAATTTTAAAAGTAGAGAGTGTACCTGAGCTGAAGAAAAGTTGCCACACGGTGGCCAGGTACGGGTAAGGTCACTAAGATAACCATGCAACTCACAGCCAATATCCATTAGGACAAGGTCACCATCACTGATCTAGGAAAAAAAAAACTAATGTACATGTTTTTATGTGTGTGATTAATAACCAAACAAAAGTAGATGCAAGTGCAAAATTGATCATCTTACCTTCTGATCATTTCGAGAATAGTGTATAACACTACCATTTGGCCCACCACCAACCACGGGGTTGAACCTAGTGAATGTGTATGACAAGATACATAAATAACCAATAAGTTATCGCATAGTTATACGCCACGAATGACAACAGAAATGCACTGCTGAATCATTATAGAAAACCCAAAGATTAAAACTCAAAATGATGAGAAAAGGCATTTATTAGCTGGCTAATAACCATGAAAGTTCAGTGGCTGAATCATTATAGAAAATGTAAAGAGACTTTCTTTGGAACATTAAGGTGGAGGGGAGGAAGCATATCTAGTAAAGTGGGATTAAGCATATAGACCAAGATGGGGGGTTGGGGATTAGGAGGTAGGATTACTAAATAAAGCTTTCTTATGGATGTGTATATTTGGTAGAGAAAGATAAGCTCTTTGAAGGAACCAAGAAAGGCTATAGCTTGTAAGTATGGTGTGGCCAGACTTGTCCGAGCTTCTAGAGAAGTGAAAGCCATATATGGAGTTAGTGTGTGGAAAGTCACAATGAAGTTTTTTTCTTTTTTTTTTGGATCGAAGAATTTTCAAATCTTGCAAAATCCAAACTGGGTAATGGATCAAGCGTTCAGTTTTGGGAAATCATGTCTGAGGCTTTTCAGGTAAGTATAAGTGCATTCCCATCGGTCAATGTTTTGAGGTAATATCTTCAAAAAAAAAGTTTTGAGGTAAGGCAAGTACTGATTGTGTGGTGTACCACATTTAAAAGGCCTCTCTTTGACAGAGAGATTGAAGAGTGTGTCATGCTGCTGTTAAAGCTTCAAGAGGCAGAGATCAGTCGGGAAGTCTGATACAAGGTGGAGGAAGGAATGAAGAATGATCATTTTACATTTAAATCCTTTTATAAAGCCCTAACAAGAAATCAGGTTGAACCTTCCTCTATTAAAGGCATTTTGGGGCAACTCCATCCCTCCAAGATCACTTGAATAGCAGAGGAATTCAGTTGGCTAGCAGGTGTTATTTTGTGGCTATAAGACTGAAGATGTGTTGCATCTTTCCTTCTGTTGTCCTTATACCAAGTTTGTATGGGATTATTCTTCGGATTCTTTCACCTCTATAAGAAAAGCATGTGGAATACAAGGAGTACTAAGGATATTTTCTCAAGTTGGCCAGTGCTTTAGGAAGCAAGAAGGTGAAGATATTTTGGAGCTGTATTCCTTTTACAGTATGTTAGTGTCTTTGCACGGAAAGAAATAGAAGGTTATTCGAAGACATGATTAAAAGCAAGGAGAAGGATCTGTTCAGAAATAGGAAACCAGCTGCTGGATTGGGTTCTAATTTCAAAGAGATTCTTTTGGGTCTGATTTCTGGGTCACTTTGGATTTTTTGGAGGGGTTGTCTACACTTATGTTGTTTTTATTTTTATTTTTTTCTTTTATTAGGGTGTTTCCTCATCACCTTTTGATGTTCTATGTATTCTCTACTTCTTATTAATAAATTTTCTTTTTTATTTATTATCAAAAAACAACACAGCAATGAAAGCAAATAATGCTAACCACAAAAAGATAAATGATGCTTACGCCATTCTTTGTGCACCCCTCATTTTACATTCATACTCAACCTTAGCTGCTAGAATACCCTCATCTGGTAATGCCTTTGAAAGTAACATTGTCTGTAGTAGGGCCTGTCCAAGAAAATAAATATTGATTATTATGAGAATCGTCACATTAACTTTCATTATATTCGTTCATTTAATAAACACCATATTAACATATCTATCAAAGACAGAGTCTTTTATAAACATTAGCAAACATTAGCAAATAGGGGGTTCTCGGAGCTCCGGTAAAACGTACAATTTTCAAAAGGCACACACTTGGGCCAAGGCACACCAGGTGTGCACCTTTTGAAAGTGCTGCGCCTAGGACCTGGACAAGGCACCTACCCTAAAATGTGCCTCGCCTGTGCGCCTAGGCGCACCTTTTAAATCACTGCTCTATCCTATCTCACTTTCTACCTATATTTCTTAACTTTATCTAATTCTTGGTCTTTTCATAATGTTTAATAAAAAAAGTCTAAAGACTTTTGCATCAAAACTAGAAAAACCAAAGATTAATTAAAAAAATCAACTAAAGTTAGGGTTTAACAACCAGAAAGTCAAACTGAGAAAGAAAGTACCTGGCATGCAATTGATGCAGATTCTCTCATTAGCTTTTGTTCTGATGGTGATTTTATCCATCTAAGTTCATCGGTATAAACCGAAAGATCTTTCACATTTCCATTGTAAGCTGCCTTGCAAAACGCATCCAAATCCATATAAGCTGGTACAGCTGTCTTCACATTATGGAACAATTTGGATGATCTTCTGATAATATCTGGAAGTATCTGTAACCAAGGATGATAAATTTGAGTATTCTCCTGTAAGAATGTCCTTTGTTTTATAGTAACTTCATTATATTATCAAGTAATAGGTAAAAGGGGACAGCACCTTCTGCACAAATATTGCATAGTCATTTATGATGAGTCATTCATGGACTTGGACATGAATATAACCGCAAAAAGCAGGATTCAGTGCTTCCCACAGTGGAACAATTGCTAACAGGATGGCATATGGGTATAAACAAAAGGAGACAATTGACCTGGAAAAAATTCTCTTGGTGATTATATGGGCCATTTGGAGAGAAAGAAACATTGGAGCTGTCTAGCAAGTCTTTCTAAGTAGATCCTTCGACAGCCCAACAGACCAGAAGATGCACTGAGCTTTCAGGTCTTATCTTTAAAGACCAAGACTGTTGGTAAGCATCTTGGTCTACTGGGCTGTTAAAAACAGACTGTAAGGTTTTAAGTGTGGAAAGACCAAAAGCTTCAGTTGAAGCTTCCCGATTTTCAGATATTTTGATCTTTTGAGCTTCTTGCAGACCGAAAGACACACAGAAAAGATGCATCAAACACCCGCAAGATTTTTGAAGGTAAGGAATTGGAGCTGGGAGATGTGGCAAGGAAGGCAGAAGCCCAATTAAACTCATGGATAACAGCAAGTAAGGACATGGAGACATCCCATTCTCTGACTTGCTAAGCTGGCAATAGATAAAGCTGTAACGGGCTTCTTTTTTGCAAATAAAAGACATACACAAAAGCTGAGTTATTTATCAAAAATAAAAACAAAAGCTGAAGTTTTTTGTTTTTCTGGTTCCTGTACAGTTACTGCACAGAGGATATTATGTAAACAGATATTGCAAAGGAAATATAATATATTTTACTTTTTCTCTTTCAGAAAAAAAAATTGCTAGATAAATAACTTTTTTGATGAATTTGATAGATAAATAATTTAATAACTGATGGAAAAAGAAAAAACTAGATGCAGACTATGATGCCTAGATAATAGATAACTACAAAAATTTGGATATGGGAAACAGGGATGTGACTCTCCATTTCCTAAGATCCTAGACACCAATACAGCATACAGGTACAGGTATCTTATTAAATATGATCTTATGATGTTTCCACATCTACTTTTTTGAATTTAAGTGGCATTTCTCAATACTTGCATCCAAAGTAGTCAAGGAGTCAACTAACAATCTATGATTTTATAGTTGTATCTCATAGAGTAAATAAAAAAGAAAAATCCCAAAAAGCATATCTTGCATCATGCATGTGGCCATGATATCTCTTCAGCATGTTTCCAAGCTTTCAAAGTCCTAGGCTCAAGGTAAAGGTTACACTTTCTCATAGAGAGACATGGATACGAATACAAATACATGTTTTTCTATGGAGGAATATGTGCATGCACATGTGTTCTACATCTTTGAACTTAGGCCGCATTCGTTTGCATCTTTGTAACTTACTCGGGTAAGTGCACTTGCCCAGGTAAATGTTTCCTAGGTAATATTTACCTAGGTAAGTGCACTTACACGTGTTCTTTTCATTTCCAGGATTCCCAAGTAAGTTACAGAATGACATTTTTACCCATAAAAATCTAATATAAAAATGGGAAAAGTTGTCCCATTATGCTTTATAAAATTTCCCCCCATGTGGGAAAGTTACTTACCCACCTGGGAGATGGGTAAGTTTTACCTGGGGAAGTGGAACTTATTTTATCGTGGGGCCCATTAGTAAATGCAAAAAGAACATTGTAAAGTTGCTCAATGGGAAAAAGATACCCATTGACCAACTTTCCCAAGCTTATTTGCTGGTAAACGAACAGGCCCTTAAGCATTTCTTTAGTTCCACCCACTCACCCACCACTAACTCATTTTTATTAATCTATCCATATTTATTTATTGCACCATGATAATAATAGTTGATAGTCTACGTCTATCATATAGAAGTTGAGTTGTAAGTGTGAAATATGAAATTTGTTAATGCATCTACGGATTTAACCAACTTATGAATAAAAGCATCATTACTCTAACATAAAGAAAAGAATCAAAAGAAACTGACTTACTTCATGCATTCTACTCATTGGAAATGCCTTTTCTGCCCTAAATGTTTCCAAAGCTGCATCAACCCCAGCAATTTCTCCTTGCCAAATAACATCCTTAAAAAAAATAGGGAAAAGGAGAAGAAGAAAAAAATAAATGATTTGTAAGCCATGGCTCAAAATTAATACATAAAGAGTTCTGGTTAGAGGTTAGATGGAGTATGACTTATACAAGCCGGTCGAAAGGTAGAAATAGATTCAGAATTAATAGCAGGCCATGCTTCCTAACTGCACCCCAAATATGACAACAATGTGATTGCAGAAGCACCTCGACTTCTTACCAAGGTCAGCCATAAGAGATGCTTGAGGGTAACAAAGTATAAAGGATATAAAAATGTTACACTTTGAGGTGACCCTAGCTTTCATAATAAAGTTTTATTGTTTGTGCTTACTTGAGCATCTGATTCTGGCATGAACATGCATAAACCACACTCATGTCCTAAAACTGCTATTCCACCAGGTTGCTGGCAACCAGTTATATAAAAATAGTCAGCATCCTGTCTGAATGGGTAAGGCACAACATCAGTCATCATCTTTACTGGAGCAGCTGCAATGATGGCTGCACTATTTTTCGGAAGTAACTCCAACAATCTTTGCCTCCTAGAGATGTACTCATCACAAGTGATGCCCGGCGTAATCTCTCCTTCCTTTACCAACTAGGAAAATACAAGAAAAGCATGATTTAGAAAGTAATACTTTTCTTTCAATAACAAAGAAAAATCAATATCAAAGATAAGTTATTCCAATTGGATCGACACAAACATCTAACTAAAGAAAAAATAGAAATGAATCTCAGACATCTGTAAAGCAGCAACACCTGAGGATGAGATGTGGCAGTTGGCTGTCCCGCATCAAAGATTTTCCTGGTAGAAGATGTGCAAATTCCACTCAATCCAGTAGGCTAAAAAAACAATCCGCCAAATATCATCAATTAGTCCAAGCCAATAGATTTGCAATTGGACAGCAGAATTCTGATTTCTTCCTCTATTGAGTCCTCCTCGACATTAGGGAGAGAAAATGGGAGAGGAAAAAATAAATTGATTTTAGAATCTTGGATTACTGTTTGCATGTAAAGAGAGACATGAACTACCTAGGTTACCCTTAAGCAGCTTAACAGACAGCAATGTATTTGATCAAAACTCGTTACCCACATTCAGACTAGTATAGAGTTAGACTTAGTAAAGGAGAAAAAATAGGAAATAACAACTCGAACTCACAAAAGGGTAAAACATAGAACAATAAGCAGAAACAACTCAGCAGAAAAGCACTCTTTATTTGCAACATCCAAAATGAGCGATAAAAATAAAACGAAATGAATGAAGATAGATAGGAATCGCGTAACATTGAGACTTCAAAAGAATCCCAAATTCAAAAATGACTGTTCGAATTGATGGCTTTGAACAATAATTTGGAATAGCTGAAGTTCTAAGCTATCACCAAAAACCGGCAAAAACTCATCGATATTTTTTATCTTTCATGTGAATGTATTCCATTAGAATTAAACCAAAGCTAGGTTTTCGCCTTTTTCAATTCTAACAAAATCCTAGTTAGTAATATCCAGAATGAGTCAGTTCTGATTGACAGCAAGTTCCCCTCCAGTAAAGCGACTCAAAAATTTACAGAACGAAGAAAGTTTGTGGACTTGTTTGAACAAGCATTTGTAAAAGTGAAACATCAAAAAAATCAAATAGAAAAATGTGGAAATTGGAAATGCAATACTTGTTTCAACGAGAACCTCCGTAGTAGGTTTCCTCTCAACCGCTGCATTCTTGCTTCCAGCTTCTCGCTGCCCCCTTACCAGTTACCAACCCCCTTTCTCTCTCCTTTTTTATCGATTCTTCTACTTTGTATTTGTACTTGTAGACTTGTATAGGGCTGTAAACGGATCGGATCGAAACGTAGGTAATGCTGATCCAAACTTTGATTTCTACCAAAAAAAAATCAAAATTTTGATTATGTTGGGATTCGGTTCGATTGTATCGATCGGGTTTTATAGGATGAAACGGACCAAATTCGGATCGCCCTTAACCGAATCAAGTTCGAATTCAAAAACAAGCAGATAGCATTTTGGGGCCGTACTTAACTACATTTTAGTTTCAGCCTTAAAAATATACCTATCTCCATACATAATAAACTAGGAAAAATTTCCCATTAGTACCCTCTATTTTTTGTAAGTGCCACTTTGGTCCTACATTTTAAAAAATGTGATAACTCAAAATTCAAATTTCAAAATGTGTCAATTTAGTAATTGTGTTATTCAGTTCGTTAATTAATTGTTAATTGTTATTCAGTTCGTTAATTAATTGTTAATTGTTATTCAGTTCGTTAATTAATTGTTAAGTGGCATTTGAAAAGATATAAATACATTTTGAGTGTCATTTAATTTTTTTTATCAACTATTCAAATGTTGGTAAGAAATGAATAATCTCAAATTCTTGCCTCTTCTATTCAAGAAAATTAGGGTCACGTCTCAGTGGGCATTCTGGTGACCCCAACTTTCTTGAATAGAAGAGGCAAGGATTCGGGACTTTTCATTTGCTATCAACGTTTGGATGGTTGATAAATAAATTTAGATGATGTTTGAAAGGTATTTATGTCTTTCCAAATGTCACTTAACGACTACTTAAGGGATTAGTTAACAACAAGTACTAGATTGGCACATTTTGAAAGTTTTGGTATTGAATTGTCGCATTTTAAAAGTTCGGGGGCCAAAGTGGCACTAGGCTCAAAGTACAAGGTACTAATCATGAATTTCTCCAATAAATTAACAACCCTTTTTTATAAGTAAAAAAAATACCACTAACAAAAGAAGAAACAATTTGTTCTATACAATAATCTATGAGGGCTGGTCCAGCAAACAAACTCTAATACAAACCTTTACCTACCTAAGCAAACTTATGGGCAGCCCCCTTAAGAGTCTTATGCAAAAAAAAAAAAAAAAATTAAACTTAACAAAAGAAAAAGGAGGGAACAAGAGACTTAATCGAACACATCAGTTCGTATTTTTGGATTTTGGGAGAAGGAAAAGTTGGCCAATGGGATTATTAGATAATTTTCCCACCTAAGGGAAAGTTGCCAACACTTGGATGGGACAAAAATGTCCCTTTTGATAATAGATTTTTATGACTAAAATGGTCATCGGTTTATTTTCCTGTGAAATGCAATTAATTAGACAAAAACCTTCACAATAAAGGGAAAGAAAAACTAGTTTAAAAGTATTTACATGTGACAAAACCAAAATACACCTCCAATTCGTTCATTAACTAAAACCAATGAAAACTAAAAAGCAAAAAGTTATTCTACCATATGTTTTCCATAAATATTCATTTGACCTCCTATAGCCAATAAAAGAGATCTATGAGAATCAAAAATACAAACTCCAAAACTTACCCCAACTTGATTGGGTCAGGGAAGTCGAGTACCCGACAGGGATAGGAAAAATTGCTATCCCTATAGGAGACTATTAGGTGGTTTAAGCCTTTAAGGATTAGTATGAAAGTAAAGTGAGGTTTAATCACAACATTTAGGTTAAATTTGGAAAATACAAATATATACAATGCAAATGCATGAAAAATAATACAAATTACAAGGTTTTGCACTCTACATATTTGTATTTGTACTCCTTCCAAACTAAGCCTTATGTTGTATATGGTAGGGGTGCAACTTGGACTGGCCTAGGTTATGCTTTTGTCAAAATTTGAATTGGCCTACTTTGTATGTGTTTGGTTCCATTTATGTTTATTGAATAAATATTTGTACTTTATTTGCTAGTAAAACCAAGAAATGCAATAATTGTAACCGTTTATGACAAATAGGTGCCACTACGCTCTATATTAGCGTAACAGTGAATAAACGCCTGGCCGTTTCTGGAAGCTTTAAAAAATAACTTCCACAAACGGCTGGCATGCACAAAAACCAAAGTTCATTTTTTTCATTTTCGATGCATGCAAAAGAGCAATAGAGAGAAAATATTGAGATGACACCTATGTGGCACCATCAATAAACCTAAATGGAACTAAACACTCTCTTTGTGTAATATGATAATTGGAGCCAACCCAAGATGAACCACTATTGTTTGGTTCCATTGCTATTTCCAAGCCAAAAGTTTTGTGTTGGCTCGTGTTATCAAGTGTTGTACAAATGGAGGAAGAACTTAGATGGGCCCAACCTGAGCCCGGACCAATTGATCCCACAATTTTTCACAAAATTGGGTTTGGATTTTCAGTCATCAAGTTGGGCTTGGGCCTAGTCCTTAGGTAGGTTGAACCTGACCAAATGGATGCATGTATGTATATATGTATGCATACATGCATGAAACTTAAGTGTGCGTTGGCCTAGATAGGGAAGATTGAGCTCAAATTAGGCTTGGCCCTTAGGCCAAAATCGTTGTGTTCGGCCTAGGTTGACCATAAACTCAGACCAACCTCCCTCAGAACATGCACCTAGGGGTGCAATCAAACCAATCCGAGCTTGAAAATGAATATATTTTTATATGTATATATGTACCCGTTAATCCAACCAAGCTTGTGAGCTTTCAAGTCAATCATTTTATTAGTCAAGCTTGAGTTTGAATAATTAGTCAAACTTACCTAAAGATTCAAACTCAATTAGATCAAACTTCAATTGAGCCTAATCATAATAGAGCCCTAACTATTCAATTAGAGGTCAATTCAATTGTGGCCCTACTTGCACCCCTACAAAATAAATGATTTGAGGATATTCTATTTGGTATTAGCATTTCTACCTAAAACTTTTAAATGAAATAATGTTTATATTCAACATGACACCACCCTACCACAGACTCTCATCCAAGGATCAAAATTACAAATACATGTTTTATGATGATCGACTCATAAATTTATTAAACATAGATTAGGGTTCTATATGATACTAGAAAGACATGATATCTGAAAAAACTTTTGACCAATTAATCAACATCATAAAACATTGCAACCAGTCAGGTGGTATTTATCAAAATTCATTGGTCAAGCTCTTCTGGTACCATATCTTTATTGCATCATAAATTTTCCCCATAGATTAGCATATAGATGAAAATTTAATGGTTTTAGAAGCATAAACAAAAAAGAAAAAGAAAAAGAACTTTGTTTTTGAGGGTATGGTTTATTGGTAATCAATTGGTGTACATCCACCTTTATTAGTATATGATGCACCATAATATATCCCTCTATTGCCATGTAGGAAGCCAACTAAGAGTAGCTAAGTCATTGGACCGTTTCTTTAGGGCAGATAATGGAGAATACATCACTTTGATGTTCCCCCAAATACCCCTGGTTTACATTTCTATTAAAAACATTTCACAAGCGTTTCAACTCAAAACAGTTCCAATCTAACAAAAACTTGAGGTTGCGTTTGGAAAAGATGCAAATAAGTGTGATTGCAAATATGTAGAGTGTAAAACGGTCCACATAAATTGCAAAGTTGGGTTAGTTTTGCATTGACAAGTTTACCTTATTACCAAATAGACTTTTAGTTGTAGTGGATGCAAACATGAACTCCAATAAATCACTAGTGAATGACCCCGTACTAAGTACAGGGAATCAGTAATGTCAAATTTACATTATGGAATCAATATTGTTAAATTTTTATTTATTAATATTGTAAATAATTATTAAAATTCAAAAAATAGATTTTCAATAATTATTAAAATATGGATAATTTTCTTTTGTTATGATACGTAGAGGGTTAATGATTAAGTGAGATCGATAGAATGTAGGCAATACCACTTTTGCATTTTTTTAGGAATGAATTGAAAATGGTGGTAGTGGGTTGTGGGCTTTAGCAACAACTTCTCAAATAATGCCACATGTCTAGTTTTCTAGAAAAATGAAAAGGCCATGTGTGAATGGTGGGGAGCCTGGTAGTGGATTGTGGGTTTTAATAGGAATTTCTCAGAAATTGCCATGTGTCTAGCTTTCTAGAAAACGAGAAGGCCACTTGTCTGAATGGTGGGGATTATAACTTGAAAACCTTCCTTTAATATATATATATATTAGATTTGCATTTTTTTTTATCAAAAGCCCACTTAATTGCAAACTTACTTCTATTTTATTGATGCACTTTTACATCTTATTATCAATGTAAATATACATTGGTATGCCATTTGCCAATGCATAAATGTAATGTTACCAAACACCAGCAAAAGTGAACCAGAGTGCAAATTGACCCTAAACCAGGATTTACACTCTATTTGAATCGTTTCCAAATGCAGCCTAAGGCTCAATTTGGAAGGAATACAAATACAAATACATACAAAATATATAGTTTTATACTACATGTTTGTATTTATATTTGTTTTCATTCCAAACTAAGCCCAATGCTTGAACTCAAAACATCTGGAAACAGCCACGATACCAAACATCACTATCATGTTTGTATGTTAATCGCTAATTTGCAATTTGTTGGAGAGTTGTAATTTGCATTCTATTGTGGGTTTTGATTGGTCAAAACTCTTCCCATACCATATCTTTTCTGCATCATAGATTTTTCCTTATTTATTTGAATTTCACCCCTCTTATTTTTTGGTTAAGGATTAATCCTTAAGAAACCCCCTCATGCAAAGTCTCAATAAGAACGGGGTTTGTCAACTTTCATCCCTGAAAGCATCGTCTTCTTTAACTTTCACTAGTAGTGCTTCTTCATCACCCGAGTCATGGCACTATCGTCTGGGGCATTCGTGAATCTTGATTCTTGAGAAAGGCAAAACCTATACCAAGAAGATTGACAAAGGGGAGTTTCCCAACCCAAAATGACTAAAAGGATTCAGTGTGGCTTACGATCATGATTGACGGAGTTAGAGATGCCACTAGCTTCAAAGGCTCCAACTTCCCAAGTTTATTTCAATCTTGCATCTATTCGCAACAACAGGTTTAGACATTAATCCGAGCTCATATATATTGTCTTCAGAGCTATCATCTCTTGGGTTTTCTCCCTACCGTCTTTCTGCAA